TGCACTCACAAAATTGGTTGGTAAATTCAACGAGTGGGTGCATCGACCTGGTATATCAAGTTTCTGCAATTTTTTACGGCAAATCAGTAGATTTTCGGGATGTAGATTGCTTACTTTCAATTCATGAATGAATAAAGCAACGACATGGTTGAACTTCTTTGCATGGAAAGACGTTTAAAATAACAAAATCAAGACGTATTTAATGCAATTGCATTTATATCGAGTCAATTTCTTTTCAATAATATAACGGGATTTTTACTACCGGTGATTTGGGTATTTTAGCCCCAAAATACCTTTAAATCGACTTTATCTTCTAGGAGTTCGACAGAATTTTTCCTTTCTTCGCTTAAATTATTCCGTAGCACTTTTCTTCAAGAATCTGATAAGATTTTGCTTGAGGCAGATCAAAAAACTTAAATTCGATCGAATAGCTTTCTACTTTCACAATACACGGTCTCGTCAAGGTGCGTCTTTGACCTCGCAGTGTTGGATCGTGAATTCTCTTTTTATGCTGTTTGCCTATTTTGAAATCTCTGTAAATGAAAACTAAAGGGGTTGATATGTGCGAGTTAATGACGCGCCTTATCAACACATTGTGTTGGAGTTCACTGCTTGTTTTTTTTTGTTTTTTTTTCATCCCACTCGTAGGACTAACTGTAATGGGATAAAAAACGAGTGGGAGAAAAGTATTCGGTGTAAGCTCGTGGTAGGAAAAAACATTTTAAGAAAAATCACTTGCCACCTGTGTTTCATATACTTACGGGTAATTCATCTTAGTTTGCAACTTAAAGCTGGCAAGGTGCAAAAGACTACCAAACTTCGTGCGTTTGTACGGGGTCCTTAAAAATAAATGAAACTTTTCTTCCAGTGCGGCAATGGTTGTACCAGACATGCACCGAGTTTGGCTGGTATCAGACGTCTAGTAAGAAGGGCGAAACATTCGGCGATCAACTCCGTATTGATTACTACGTCGACCTTTGCAGAGACGTTTACGACAAAAGGTTTATTTTGTTATACTTTTAGATTTATTTTTATCTGCTTCAACTCAAAAAAATTAATCCAGGACCGAAACTTTTTACGCGAATAGGGGGCACGAAATTCCACGCCGCCACGTCCCCTAACAGATTCACCATCCACCCCCCCGCCCTCCAGGCCTCTTAGGCGTTATGCATATCCGTTCCTGTTGTGATTTAATATTATAGAATTTGATTTGCAACCCGAATTATATGACAACATGGCAATCTGTTTGTCAAGTTACGTTTAAATTAAACGTCATCTTTCCGACGTATTGGTGCATGGTGCATATCATTTCCACGAAATATCATTTCCGCTGCTCACGTCAGAGATAAGTACATACTTGGACGCATTTCTGTCACACGCAACAATGTGCATTATGACCTGAGCCCTGTCACGCGTATATTCTTATGGGTCTCGAGGCTCATGTCTTGATGCACATAGTTCCGTTTGACATGGTAATACGTGCAATTCAGAGCCGCGACAAAACGAACTAAACCTCTCGTAGCCTGAGAGTTTCCAATGAGAATCTCAAAATTCGGTTTTTCAACCACACGTGACAACTGTAATTCCATTGAAATGTTCTTACTATGTGTACAAAGGTCTATTTTCCCGAAGACGGCTATAGACATTGATGAGAATGAATTTTAAGCGCGGATAATAAACTTCTGCGGAGTTTCTTCGCGGCTGATGCCATGAACTTAAGTTTCAATCATTGAGACCTGAGACCTGCCAGTTAATATAAAAATGGCAGAAATCAAACCGTTCTGAACTGTGATGTCCATTTCACACAAATGTAATTAAAAAGTTTTATGAAATGAAATAATTGTATTGATCGTGATCTTTAAAATACAATATTCAATCTAACTTGATTCTTTTATTACAGATTTGATGCTTCATTCTTAGAATCGTCTGTTCAAGAGACAAACTTGAATTACGGAGGCATTTCCTTGGACGTCAGCAGGGTGATCTTTGTTCATGGAACCATCGATCCATGGTCATCTATTGGTATCACGAAAAAACCTCCCAAAGGAAGCGTTTCTATCTTTGTAAAAGGTATGGGGTAAAATAATCATAATTTTTGAAAATAGTAACGGATCAGAAGCGGATCCAGCAATTTGGCAACACCGGGTTTCCTCCATTTAAACCTATGTTAAATAATCGATTCTTGTCGGAGTACCTTATCCCTCTAAGAATCGATACATTTCCATAGGTTTAAATGAAGAAAAAAATATCGCCAATTTGCTGGATTCGCCAATATAACGTCAAGAGGAATAAAACTTGATAAAAAAAAATAGGTATTTAACAACAATGTTCATAAGACGGATGGTTAGTAGAACATTTACTTGTAAAACATCGATCTTTTGGGGAAAATGTCAACCTTTTCATTCGCCCCTGATGTATCGGTACTGAAATAATATAAGAGACGGCAAATTATATAACAGTCATAGAGACATCGTCACCTTCCGACCGAAGTATCACAAGCGCCATGCGACATTTACAATTTTCCGCCGCCACTTTATTTTTTTTTTCAAATTAATTGCTGGCTGAATCTGTTTGAAAATTTCACCAAATATCATCGGCAGCAGAAAGAAAATTCAGTGAAATTTTCGGACAGCTTAATTCGTTGAACCGTTTCTCTAATAAAATGGCTGCGGAATTTTTTGAACGTCGTATGACGCTTGTGATACTTTGCCTGGGAGGTGACGGCATTCGAGTTGAAAATATAAAACTGTGTGTAGACCCTGATGACTAACATTGGTTTTTGAAAAAAGCTAACTTCTAGCAGGAGGCACATTTCAAAATAGAGAGCCTAAGGAAGGTCGTAACCTTGAAACCTTCTACCTCCTCTTCCATTTTTTGTGAGAGATTATGAACGTTCTGAGTGTAATCCGGTCATTATTTTTCAATTTTCCAGGAGTGGCACATTGTGCAGATATGTTCATAGAAAACGCTTCAGATATACCACAATTGAAGAAAGCAAAAGCAAAAATTTCACGAATTTTAGGACGATGGACGAGCGGAAAGAAAATGGAATCCGAAGCAGAATCTGTTTTCCACTTTCAGTGACCACCCAAAATAAGAGACTGATCGATCATTCAAAAATGTAGCTTCCGATAAATGCAGTCAATATAAAATGCCGTTTTATATAGCGAGCATTTATATATTTGTTAGGATCAAGTAACTGTCGTGAGTTACAAGATTCACAGAGGTACCCTTCTTTATCCAATGAAATCAAAGCCGTGTTGTCTCAATTGATTAAAAAATGTGTGTGCTTTTATACTAGAATAAACATTTTTTACGTGTCATTCACTAATTTACCTTATTTTTTAATCTATCTACATTGTGTTCTGAACTTAATGATACATGACGAGGGAAAAGCTTTACATAAATCAAGCAATTAAAATTAGACAATCAAAAAAATAAAAATTTCAAAAAAAAAAAAATAGTCATGACACGCATTCAAATATTGATAAGCTTTTTTGTACTCTGTTGTCTTCATATTTTATTGCCTCATAATCTTTCAAAATTTAATGTAAGTAAATAGAGGTTGGAGAGCACCGAAATTTCCTGTCTCATGTTTTAAGTTTTTTTTTTTTTTTTTATTTTTTTTCCTCCCATCCGCAATATTACATTGATTTGACCGATTTATCAAACTGGTTCCATTTGATTCTAAAATTATTATACTGTCTCTTTAGAGACGTTGATACTATTCTACTAAATTCTAAAAATAGAATTAAAAAACTGCTAATCCGGAGGGGGAAAATGCAATCGGATGAAACGTTAAAATGAAATTAAGTGTAATAATTGCAAGATTGGCATACATAATTTGTACTTAAGAAGTGTCATACGGTTGACTCCTGTCAAAATACCTATTCTTTTTTAAAAGTGTCATTCAATGATTCAAACAAGTAAGCAATGCATATAATTAAGGCACTCTATTCGACGGCTATTGATACTAAAGAAAGGCAATTTTAAATAGTGGCATTCAATGATACAAACAAATAAGCAATGCACATATCAAAAACACTCTATTCGACGGCTGTCGATTCGAAAGAGAGGCAATGCTCAAAAATATTCAGCCACTCACAATACCCTCGAAATGCGTGGATAATAAGAGTCAATCAATACATTAACTTGATTTGCGTTGTCACCATATCTTTCAAGTATCATAATAAAAGTGAGAATACGTGCGAAAAACCACGGTCAGCGAGTTATTGAAATAGTGTCAAATAGGGTGCCAAGGTTGCAATATCTACAACTGTGAATGCAAGATCTAGGTACCGAGATGCTAAAAGATCATAAAGATCGTATGTCGATTGGTTCAACGTGTTAAAATAGCCTCAAAAGTTAATTGGGTAATCAGAAGGAACGGGTTTTTTGTGATCGATTTTTTATTTTTATGAGTGCAAAATAGTGATGAAAAGTGAAATTGTAAGGAATATTCTCATTATCAGCTTTTCTAACTGATATCCTAAAATGTTTGTTTGAGATTATATTCTATTATTTTGAACCAAACGATATATCGAATCAATATCAAATACGATCCATTGGAGAGTAAATGCACCCGTTGCGGCATTGATAATGTAATTAATGCTGGCTGTGAAATTTACTGCAGTGATGGTCCTTACCGTCTAACATAATGACCTTCTTTCAAGAGGTCACAGATTTTTCTGAGCTAATCGATACAATGGACCAGCAGAGAAAGTACGAATTTAAGCATTCTGATAAATGTTGTTTAATTAGAATTTCCTGTGAAAAACGATTCCTGCATCGGTAATTACTGAAATCAACCCCTAATTAATATGTTAACGTTTTTATTTTACACTGGTTATGCCAGGAATTTTGGATTGCCTGGTCACGAGAAACGCTATTTTCTACGTGAGTCACATCGCGTCTCACAAAAGTTTTGCCAGGCTTCTCAACCGAGTATTGGTGAGTATTTGTCCAAAAGTCCACCCTTTATCGTTCAAAAAGTAAACAATTTGCTATAGCTGAGCCAAAGCGTCAATATTGAGGTTGCCAGATTTTCATATCGCAGAGATCGTCAAGGTAAAGTTAGTGTGCGATTTGACCCACGTAGACTATTGTGTTTTCATGAGCGGGAAGTTTGAATTCACGCGTCAAGAAACATTGAATATCCTAGTTAGGATTTGATTTCAGTAATTTCCGTTGCAGAAATCGTGTTTTACGTAAAATTTTGATCAGGAAACATGTATCAGAATGCTTGACTTCGTACTTTGTCTATTGGTCCATTAGCGGAAGAAACAGTGACAAGAGTGAACTTCATCAACTTATTCCTAGTATCCCATTTCACAGATTACCGTTTATTTCCTGGGGTTGAAGAGGGTCCAATTCGAAACGTAACCTCCAATTTTTGACGCAGAAAGTCGACAATGGACAGCTCTTAAGTCTTACTTCTGATTCATAGGTACTGATTGATGGGTTTTTTTTCCATCAAAACAAGATGCAGTGACAAGTACAACTGACTCATTATTTTAGGATTTTATAATTTGATAAAGCGAAGAAAATTATAATTTTAGTGTATTTACTGGGCAGACATATAAGTGAAATTTTCCGAGACTACTCATTCTTGAATTCCCACCATGGATAACATATTCACCAATTTGATGAAATTGTGAGGTTTCAACCTCGCGTTTTTGGAGAGTACAGAACTCTCTATTCGGGCATTAAAAATTAAATGGATCAAAAAGTGGACCCCCTTTGTATCGTATGCTGGAATCTTAATCATACCCTAATATGACAATATTGTCACTATATTCTAATGATATCAGTTTTCAAAACTTGCCACGTATAGTCAACTGCCACGTAGACATCTGCACTTAACAGAATTTCCATCTCGAGGACATACTTTACTAATATTATCGATGTTGTAACATTTTAACGGGGTCCTTAATGTTGACCACTTATATTGTTTAAAACAAAGCGGATAGGAAAATAACTACACGTATCAATTAAGATACGTTGAGTGAACTTCCTGGCAAATAACCGCAATATTGGCCTCCGAGTACAGAAAAAGAACGCCCCGGAGCACTTGTCTGTTCCCTCTCAAAACGTATGCAAATTCGCCATTCACTTTGAGCGACATGCATCTCATCTGAATCTAAGGATACATTTTGAAGGTAAGCCTGTTTTTTCAGTTTTGAAAAATCAAAAAACCAACTTTCTTTAAATAATCCTTGCATTAAATTAGCTCGCGATTTTCTTACATACTTTCGACAGATTTCCGTCAAGGAAACTATACTTTTCGACGGTGTAAGTCGACAATCACATAACTCGGTTTACGACGTCGCAGACTTCCTGTCATGCTTCATTTTTTTAACGGAAAACTACTCAATGGCAATTCTTTAAAACTGTCGTGATTTTTCTTCTCTATGCGAAGACAATGGATCACTAGACAAGGTACGAATTTAAGCATTCCGGTACATGTTTCTTAACCAAAATTTCACGTAGAACACGATTCGCGCAACGGAAATTACTGAAACCAACTCCTAACGAAGATATTAACCTTTTCATTTCACATTGGTTACCAGGAATTTGAACTGCCCGCTCACAAGAAACTCAAAGCTCTACGTGAGTCAAATCGCGCACGACAACGGTCTCAGCAAGATTCTTAATCGAGCAATATTCATTTCCCGCCATGTGTTGTTCGAACTATAGGCAATTTGCTATAGCTGGGCCAAAGCGTCAAGATTGAGGTTGCCAGATTTTTACATCGCGCAGAGACTGTCATGATAAAGTTTAGCGCGCGATGTGAATCACGTAGAGCATTGAGTTTTCATGAGCGGGTGGTTTGAATTCACGCATCAAGAATCATTAAATATCGTTGTGAGGAGTTCATTTCGATAATTTTCATTGTGCACATCGTGCTCTACGTGAAATTTTGGTTACGGAACATATATCAGAGTGCTGAAATTCGTGCCTTGTCTAGCGGTCCATTCTGCAAAAACTTCAAGAAATGATGTAAATTTGTTCCTCTTGAAAAAAATAACACAGAGGCGGAGATTTTTAGACACCGCAAACGAGTTAGGTGATGGCCGACTTACACCGTCGTTTTGCTTTGATTCTCAATGGCTCAAATGAAGATTTCAAAATGTTTTCCGTGGAACTGCAATGCAGACCTTTACTTTTAGCGGGAAAATTTAAGACACGCTCTTTGGTCATCCGACACAATATGACAAACATTTGATCACATCAAAGGCACAATGACCGATAATTTGTGTGAAAGTTTTGCCAGTTTTAATCTAAAATTTTTCACCTTTACTTTAATTCAAAACTTTGATGATCCATTAAGTATTGTTTTTACAAACTTCATACTTTCATACTTCATACCTTCATACTTTGCCATAAATGTTAAAGATAAATAGAAGAACAAATCCGTGGAAATGCCACTGGAGTATTTGCTGTATCAATTAGAAAATATATCACATTCCAATGTTTTGATCATTTTTTTTTTGGTCTATATGATGAATTGTAGTATGGAAATAGTAGAAAAGAAATGGAGATCCGAGCATCATTGGTTCCTATGGATGGGATCCGAGAATAATTACATTGGTTCCTATAGATGGGGATCCGAGCACTAAATGAAGCTCGGATCCCCATCTGTGTTTAATTTTATTGCTCGAATCCCCATCCATAAGAACCAATGTAATGTTTCATTTTAGTGCTCGGATCCATAAGAACCAATGTAATTACTCTCGGATCCCCATCCATAAGAACCAATGATGCTCGGATCCCCATTTCCTCTCTACTGGTAATGTTTTACAAAAATCGCGACTTTGGCGTGAATCATGTTTTTAGATGATTCTCCTTCACTTAGTGGTTTGCGCTCTTACGCTAGTGAAGGTCTTTGCAAATGACTTTCATCAGCAAGTGGACTTCTTCAATGGATTTGAAGGAGTTAAAAGACGATTGGACACATACACAGCAAAACAATTTGCCGAAGACTTGGTCCTCGAAGATGACGATGAGAAACAGTGGATCGTGCAAAAACTGGATAATTTTGATTCCTCGAACAACAAAACTTGGAGACAGGTAGGTTTCAACAAGAACGTTCTTAAAATCGGTCGTACACATATGGAAGGAAAACAAGCCAATACATTGTTTTACAAATAAAAAATTAAATGAGTGTGCTTCATTTGAAAACTACACATTAAAAATAAAATATTTTTGCAAAGTGACGAAGCAAATAGCAAGAAAAATATATAATACAATTTGAAAAAATAATCTGGTGATCAGAGAGAGTTTCTCGATTCTTATTAAAGTAGAGTGAAATAGAATGGATGTTTTAATCGTAGTATCATACTTGTTGCAAAATTTAATACAATTTGTGTTTCCTTGCACTGCCGCCTAAAGAAGAAATTGGTGAAAAAAACACGTATTTTATAGCAGTGTTTCAAAATTTCCCAAACTTGAGAGCAAGCATCCAAACTTGAGATGTAAGTCTACAAATACAGCTTGAAAAAAGAACAAGATATCCAATTGAAAAAAATCACATAAATATCAACACAGCCGAAGATGGGAGATACGTTTCGGGTCTGGTTCTTTTAAAACTTTTCTCCCGAACCACAGTGACAGTTTATTGGCAGCCTAGTGCGGCGCATCGCGAGCTCACAGATCACGCCCTAGCGCCTTCAATGTTGTAGATACAACACGGACATCCATCAAGTACGAATAGTTGTATATCCCTGCGCCGTCATCAACGCGTGACCTTTCCCTTGCTCTATTTCCGCCTTGTGTTGGTTCTTGTCTGTCTTATTTGTAGTAGTGCTTCAAGGGCTACGTTAGCAAAACAGCCGAAGATAGGAGAGATGTAATCGGGCCTTTTTTTAAAAATTTCCTCCCAAATCTGAGCGACACCTCATTGGCAGAATAAAGCGGAACATTGCGAGTTCACGACTCGCGCCATCGCGCCTTCAATTTTGCAGATGCAACACGGACATCCATCAAGCACGAATAGTTGTATCTCTACGCCGTCATCAAAGTGAGTCCTTCCTCTCACTCGATCTCCATGTTGCGTTGGCTTCGTTTGTCTTAATTGTAGCGGTGCTTAAAAGGCTATGAGAGCAACACAGTCAAAGTTTAACTTGAATTGCATTTGTTGGCCAAACTAGATACCAAGTAAAAAAATAGGGTGAAAAAACAATGAATAATAGTCATGTTTTCCAAATATTTTTCAGCGCTTTGCAGAAAGAAACCAATTTTACAAAGATAACAACCTGGCCTTTCTGATGATTGATGGTCAAGCTAGAATGAGCGAAGGCTGGTTCCAGCACAGCTTTATGTCTCAACTAGCTGAGAAATACAATGCATACATGTTCATCATTGAACACCGATTCTATGGAGCCAGTCAACCAATAGAGTATGTCTGTAACAAATTACCTATAGAGATCAAAATTATGATTTCGTTTCATGTTGACAATTTTAGTACATAGATAACACATACAAGAGTGATCATGTAACACATGTCTAGCAATGTTCGAAGAAGTTTAAAAATATAATAAGAGGAGGAGTCGTATGTAGGTATGTAAGTTCAAGTATCAGTTTAGGCGTAAAATTTGAACGTTATGCATGAAATTTGAGACAAAAACACAGTGCGTCGTTTGTTTTTTTAAAACAGATATTTCAATCAAGGGATTGTTTAATTTCAAGGTTACTAAACCATGCAACCCCTGAAATTATCGTATTATTGACTGTATAGCAACATTTTTGGCATTCAAACTAGTCGTGCGGACATAGTTTTCAGACAAGTCATACTTTCATAAGCTTCGAATGGCCAACTTGTTTCTAAAAAGAAAAAAAAAAGCAAATTTGCTGCTTTAAAAAAATGTTTTTGAAAATTATAGTTACTTCCGCCCCCATAAATCCAGAAAAGACGTATATATAATCGTTTTTATACCGTAGCAAAAAATTATGTTTGCCGGAATTTTTAATTCATATTTTCTTACATCATCGCGTGCATTGAGAGGCAATTTTTGGTATACTTGTGCCACATTAAGATAGCATGACCGTCCATAAATATTGAACTTAGCCTCGTAAAAGATGTGGTTTTGACAATTTAGAGCCAAATTGAATTCCTAAATTGATTTTTTTACATTTATCTGTTACATTTATTCGTGTTGCAACATCCAAAAGAATTAATTATGATGGTCCTATAATCAAAATCTGTTTATTTTTTATTTATTTTTTTCCCCCAGCAACGTAAGTGTAGATTCATTGAAATATTTGAGCAGTGACCAAGCCCTGGCTGACTATGCACATTTCATCCAGGAAATGAATAAGAAACACAAGTTTAGGAAGGCAAAATGGATCGTTTTTGGTGGATTTTATGCGGGTTCGTTGGCTACTTGGATGAGGTATAAATATCCAGACTTGGTTTACGCTGCTGTCGCCTCAAGCGCACCCCTACAAGCGCAAGTCAATTTTCCCGGTAAGCTGCTTTAGCTAGTGTATATATAAATCGATTTTGATGAGAAATTCATCTAATCTACTCTTGGACTACATTGCAATCAAAACATTTTGCATTATCGCCGATACTTTGATTTTTTAAACTCAATGCGGAGTTTTAGTTACCTCTTGTTGGTTACCCATGGCTCTTCTTTCATTTGCTTCATTACTGGAAGTAATACATGTCGAGAAAGTAATTGCAATAGGTGTTGGATCAATTTAATCCCAAAGAAAACTGTTTTCCTAAAGCATTTGTTTTGAAAAGAAAAAAACAATTCTCATTGAAACTTTAATTACTAAGGCTTCTTTCGTGCGCAGAATCCCATAAGTCAAGTCAGATTGGCCCATATGTGTAAATATGTTTATTTTGAAAGTTTTTAAAGTTGAATGTGTATTGTAAGTCATTTATTTATTTTTGAAGGTGAGATGTACTTTTGGTGACTTATTGGCACTTTTTCATCCCCTCCTCTTTTCATCCGCCATCACGTGTACCCCCCCCCCCCCCCCCCCNGAGACAATCGAGTCAATTCGTCTTTGCTTGTGAATTCTAGGGGTAGTCGCTAAACCAAACTTCCAATTCAATTTGACGCGAAAGCACTCTTGCTAATACACCAATATTTAGATGTTCCACCTTGAAGGCATTTGAGAGACCTCTCTATATATTTTCAAAATAATTATTGATTTGGACACATCATAGCATAGTCTTGAGCAAACTCAACCCTACGTTGTCTCAAATGCAAAACAGAGGCACCTCAACGCGCGATGTTGACGTCACAGAGATACAACTATTCGTGCTTGATGGATGCCTGTATTGCATCTGCAAAATTGAAGGCGGAATGGCGCAAAGCGTGATTTCCCGATTCTTTGTTTTATGCTGTCAATGAGGTGTTGCTTAGAATTGGGAGAAAAGTTAAAACACGAGGCCCCAATAGTCTCTCCTAACTTCGGCTGTGTTTACGATGGAATTTTTTTTTTAATTTTTTCAATTTATTGTCAGATATTCTTTTAAAGATGTATTTATAGACCTAAATCTAAAGCCTTTATGTATCAGCCCCATCCGACCGGTGGAGCACGTGTTTTTAGCAAGCCTTTCCTAACTCCGACATTACCAGGCCAATTAAATCACAGCTCTATAAGAGCATAAATGCATATCATCTCCAAGAAAAATGCGATGAAACTATTCAAGAATACAGAAAAACAATTATTAATTCCAGGAAACTCTAAACGTTTCGTTTTCAGAATATTTCAACACAGTTTCACACTCGTTGGGAAAAATTTCCAGTCCTAAATGTTCGGAAGCCATCAGGAATGCCAACCGGGAAATAAGCGAGAACATCCATGATCCAGAGAAGAGAAAGACATATCGGAATCTTTTCGAGTAAGTTCCTTTCTTTAAAAAAAAGAAAGAAAAAAAAACATCTTCCAAGCGGGCATCAGTTTGTCGCAAAGAATCAGTTTCAAACCTCTGATGATTAAAAATAAATTTGAATAAAAAAAAAATTATAGAATATTGGGTTTTCCGACCACAAAATTTTGGAAATTTGATAGACAAAAAGTTTTGTACTTGGAAATGCACAAAAAAAATCGACATTTAAAATTTTCATTATAATCACGCTCAGCGTAGTAAAAACCATTCAAAATCGAGATATTTCACTCACTTTCATATGGTTAACATCAAACTACTTTTCCTTTCTGCATCTACCCTAAATTTTCTATTTCTTTGCCTTTCTTTCTTAGTCATTTGAATCTATTTGAATTAGTTACTTATACATTTTTCATGTGAATAAATGGGCCTGACATAAATATGTTCTCTGCCCGCAGTATATGCAAACCGTTGGAAAACAATGAGAAAGATATTTCCATTTTCTTTGCAACACTCGCTAATACAGTCTCTGGAGTGGTTACGTTTTATCGACCGGAAGCAAAGACACATGGTGTATCTGCGAATGCAGCGGGACTATGCAGGATCATGACGGACGAATCCATCGAAAGTCCTGTAAGTCATCATCATCAGTTTTTTTCGGTGTGATTAAGTTGGTGGAATTTCTTTTCTACGGAAGGCAGAATGTAATGCGATTGACGAAAATTTAATCAAATGTTAGTGTTCTATGTAATGGCTGTTGGAAAAAGATAAAAAACGAATCCTTCCAACGAACAAAGAATCCTTTAAAAATGGAATGTCTCCACTTTTTGCGGTTCTTGTCTTATTTTGGGTGAAATTTTGAGAAGCGCAAATTTATAATTAAACGCTTTAATACATAAATTTAACCCGTGTCAACTCGGTCTGGGTTTTTTGAGGGCTTTGCCAACTCTTGAACTATTTTCACGAATTTTCCGGGGTATTTTGCTCTACATTTTTTGCATCATTCACGAAATTGTTTTCATTATTTGCAGGTCTCAGGATTGTAATATTAAATAAAAGAGGTAACAATTTTCAAATAGCAAACCGAAGTGAAGAGCCTTTATGATTGGGCAAACAACAGAATTACAACGAGAGTATTTAATATTAAATTGCACGTGTTTTACAGCGAGAGACAAACTGGAGCATATATAAAAATCAAGAAAAAATATGAAATAGAGGATCGGCGTTTCTGATGATGACAACAATGTTTCATTGTGAATCATAGGGTCATACCTTTTAGTGTGATCTACGAGATCTGACAGCGTTGCGAAGCATAAATGGGCGAATATACGCTAAAAAGAACTATGGGCAGAGCGATTGTGTGCAACATAGTTCTTTTTAGCATCAATACGTCTCAATGCACGTGAAATTCCTTTTCATTAACATGCCATTTTATTTTCAGGTTGAGCGCTATGCCAAGTGGAAGAAAGAAATATTCGGTGATTACTGTTTAAATGCTAATTATTCTGCACTCGTCAATGCCTTAAATACAACAAAATATTCTTTCTGTCCATGTAAGTTACCCATGTGCCCATGAGTCCAAATTATAAAGAAGTTTCATCGTCCCTCTGACGTAAGGACGTATCTTCATTTCCATGTGAGCCCTATTTCCCATATAAATCCATGCTTTCTAGGGTTCATGCGGAAATCGAGATACGCCCGTACGTCAGAGGAGCGACGGTTTGATTAATAATGTAAATATATATTTCTATTAGATACTCTGTAAATCATGTTAGTGAGGAACATTTCAGAGGAGGAGGTAGGTCGTAAGTAGATCTGCACGATAGAAATGAAATAGGACGATCTTTGCGATAAGCGCAAATCCCATTCAATCCTAAAGTTTGTCAGTTTAATAATGAACTATTGAAGTTTTGATTATGCAGTTGAGCTAATTGTTGATCTTTCTTTGCAGTGACGACTCTTTAATGTTGGCAACATTGTTTTTCTTCCATTTAAATAAATGTAACACAATCGATTGCCTCACCTAAAATCGATATTTTTAATGGTTTTAAATGGAGGAAAAGCAGCAATGAAACCTGCAAAATCGCCACTACTTGCCTGGCGGATATTACATTTAATTCTACCGATATTTATGCAAGAATAACTGTCAAAAGGGGCACGCAAAACAACTCTAACTGTGAAAATACCTTTCCCAAACAAAATATCTGCATAATTACAAATTGAGGGTAACCAACTAATGTATCCAATAATATGGACAAATCAACCAGAAGTAAAAAGAGAGGATAGCAAAGGTAATTTCCCTGAAAAAAATCAAAACATTATTTCAGTTAATATTTTACATATTGGCAAAGCAACTACTTCTACTATATCAGTAGGTATTTCCCTTTGAAAGCCAACTTCAAAAATTGAACGAAAGTAAATGTAATTTCATCAATAAGCCAACTACTAATGACGTATTACAGTCACAGTATTAAAATCATTGTTGCTCTGTAAAGTTACGGGTATTCCATTATAAGAGATTCTGACATAATGGTATTTTTAATCGTGTCGTAAAATAAGTTCTACGTCAATATAATTTTTCTATCGTTTCCAGACCGCCAATATTTGTATCAAACATGCAACGAGTTTGGTTGGTACCAGACCTCCAGCAAGAAAAACGATATCTTCGGGAACAAACTTCCCATTAGTTATTTCACGGACTTCTGCAAGGACGTCTTCAATGCCAAGTAAGATTTACCGCCATTAAGAGTTGGTCATGAATTACGTAACGGTCAAAAACACATGGTTGTTAAATGTTAAGACAGAACATACATTGCAAAATATCGTATACTATCTGAAAAATAAACGGAGGAACCACACATTTTTCCTCCCTTCAATGCGTTTCAAATCTGTATTATTGATAATCTTCATCTCTGAAATTACACTGATCTTTCCGATCGCTTCGACAAGATTTCTGTCACATATTTAGGGAAAAGAAGTGGTTTTAGTTAGGCCCGTGGCCACGCTGTTTGTGAAGGGAGTACGGGAGGCAAGACCGGATTTACCTACTTGCCGCCCACGGGCCGCCTGTATTTTGCCGCCCCTTCATTCGTTTTGAAACATCGATACAAACCATCAAGTGAACGTGCCGGAGGAAGAGGGGTGCATAAGACGCGTTTACACGTGTTGGGCACATTTTTTGTGAAAGCCCTGTCAACACTACTAGCAAAAGTTCACGGAACTTTGCGCGAAAATTAAGTTCCGTAAACCTGTCACTGTGTGGACGAGGCCTTTCATTTATAAGAAAAGAACGAAAAAATGATGAAAGAATAAACATGAATGTGGTTAAATGATTATGATTTCCGCCACCACGCCAACCGCACTGTGTTTGGCGCAATGCGTGAAGTATCTCTACAGTTCTGTAGGCGCTATGCGTTTCACACCGACCGCTGCTGACCGCACTACGTTTGACGCAATGCGTGAAGTATTCATGCAATCTGTAGGCACTATGAATTTCACGCCAACCGCTATACTGACCGCACTACGTTTGACACAATGCATGAAGTATTCATTAAGTCTTGTAGGCGCTATAGAATGTGTTTCATACTGACCAGCGACCGCCGAGGCCTTCTCCTTTCCATCTCAGGTCTGCGTCATCATTGCTCTCTGCACCGCGCCGCTCCAGGCCAGATTGCGTGTTTGGTTTCTCTCTCAACTAGACTAATGAAAGGCACTGCCACATGTATCACCGAAAGACGAACAAATTACAAATTACTATACTTTAACTCTCAGGAAATGAGATATTTTTCCGCCTTTTCTGAATTTTTTTTCAGTAAATTTTTTTCTGGATCCGATTTTTTTCTTGATACCTACATTTGAAAAAATTACAAAATTTGCCGCCCCCTAAATTTGCTGCCATGGGCCGCGGCTCCTACGGCCACCTCCTAAATTCGGCCTGGCGAGGGAGGTTTTTAACTCGAGAAAACGAAGCATTATGAGAATGGGTGAGTGTGCCAATTAATCGTAGTCTTGCCGTTTATGGTTGGCCCCTATGAGCTGAAACACTTTTTTACGGACTTAAATTAATTCATCATGTCATCAAGTCTAAACAGTATTACTAAATTTTGAGTTCACCACCGAGTGATCAGGTGAACTAAATCTTTGCATCATGATTTTCTTATTTAAAAAGGTTGAGATTCTTCCCGAGAAAGTTGACCAGGCATGAACATGTTACATTTTGCAGTGAGGAAAATCATTCATGCCTCATTTTAGAAACAACGTCTATGCTATTAGTTTCCTTTTGCAGTTATGAACTTTGATGAGTGAGCCAGAAATATAGTACAATCCTTATTGCAAAATGCAGTGCTATTCTGCCGTGCTAAGGAAGAACGCCGTATGAACATTCGAGAGTTGCCAAATTTCCTCCGATAAAATGTTTATTTTTGAGGAACGCCATGGATATTTTGCCTTTAAATTTTCAGAAACTTTTGGTGAAATTGAGAACAAAATTATCTAAAAAATTGGAAGGAGAACATCCACAGGTTTACCAGGAAATCTGTGTTTTATCAAAGGAAATTTGACCACGCCTGAAGGTTCTTACGGCGTTTTTCCTTAGCACGGCAGTATTGTAATACATCCATAATATTGACGGAGATACGCTGCTGCTAATATTCATGTTAGCATTTCTTTTTTTTTTGCCAACATGTCTCACTATAAAGGAATGACATTTCCAGGTTTGATGCGTCAACAATAGATGAAGCAACCACAGCCACTAATAAAAAATACAAGGGCTATTCTATACCAGTCAGCCGAGTCCTTTTTGTTCACGGATCTCTCGATCCCTGGAGTCCTCTTGGCATCAAGAAGAAGCCCCCAAAAGATAGTTACGCAATTTTCATTAAAGGTTCGTACTTTTAAGATATCAAATTAATTCACATCTAACTAGACAGTAGACATTTAAACAATCATATTCATTTTAAGGCTGGCAAATTCCTAATAAATTAGTAATACACACGGAAATATCTGGCTCTCACCTAATGCCGTAATTCCATTCCCAACATATCTGATCATCCTATACCTATTTAAAAGTTACTTCATGTCTTTAATATGTGAAAAAGAGGCGTTGACATGAATTTTTACAAAACTGTGATTGTTACAAAACTCTGGTAATCTTTGATGAATTTAGTCAGAAAAATATCTTTGAATTTTTTACGGAGGTATGCGAGAGATCACAATGCCGTATTATAGCCAATAATAAAATCGAAATTTTCAGTAGACATATTGTTGACTTTCGATTTTTTTTGGGGGGAAATAAATTTTCACTAACAGGTAATGAGGAAGAGGGGAAAAAATCAACTAAGTTGATATGTTGCCGGTAACCCATCAGGCGCTGCCGAATGCGCCATCTACTCCCTGTACAATAGTGTCGATAGAACTAGGCAAGCCGAAAAACCTTCAATTATGTGAATATGCAACAAGCCATCCTCCGAGCTCGAATAGTCGAAAAGCCCTCTGATGTAAGGGCGTATCTCGATTTTCAAGTGAGCCCTGTTTTCCGTATGAATCTATGCTTTCCGGAGCTCATTCGAAATCGTGTATCTTTCCATGTCAATCTTTTCTTTCCTTTTTGATAGACCTTGAAACGGATTATCACCAGTGGCGTGGCGTGCTTCAATATATAGCAATATTTCCCCATTTGAAGCTAAGGTAAAGAATCGATTATAAAGGTGTTCGGTGTTCCCTGTTAATCAATCCTTTTCCATCGGTTTGAATGACAGACCAATCGATGTATCGCAAAGCACGCCACGCCACTGATTATCACCTGACAATCTTTGAAGGCAAACTTTGATTATTTTCATGATGGATTCGCAATCCTAATTTTGCAAGTAATAGTACTAATTAAAAATCTTAACCTCTGACCGAGGGCTCAATTAAAAGAGGTCATTAGCCATGATATTAATAAAATACGTCCTCCAAATTTTAGGAACGTCTCATTGCGCAGATATGTTTGTTGACAATGGAAAGGACCTGCCACAGATAAAGAAGGCTAAGGACAAAATTTCACGCATCGTCAAACGCTGGGTGAATGGAAGAAAAGAGTTTTTGTCTGAAAAAGAATCCGTTTTTTATTATTAGAAATTGTAAACAACTGACCCACAAAAATATAGTTTTATTCTAACGTATACTAACTCTAAATTACAAGATTTCCACCTGGATCTACTGTGCTTTTCGATTTTATCTCCTCTGAGTTTTTTACCTCCGATCTAAATTTTGTCACTTTCACTCTCACTTTGTGTTGTGGACTTCAATTTCGAAGCATATGTAGTGTATTTATTGAATTTTATTCAAGTGTAAGTAAGCCATAATTTTCATTGAACGAATCATTGTTTTATTTTTATGGTTCAAAAGTTTCAAAGAAGACTATTGTTTACATCCATCCAAAAAATATACATTTAAGCAGGAGTTTTGAGGAACGAAATTTCGAATCCTCGTCGAAGAAATAGCAGTTTTTCAAAGTCCGAAAACGCGTTTTTGCTATTAATCTCCATCACTGATCTGCGGGTGAAATTAGCAGCACTGACGCCGTTTTTGGTAATCCAGGATTGCGCGAAAGGTTGAAGAAAATATATGAGGATTGCACAAAAAAGGCACAAAGATTGCGCGAATACACCCTAACATCTGCTACAGAAATGCTCGAATTTAAAATGAAGTTAATTTAAGAAAGAAGTTTGGCAAAACAGGGAACAGTTGGAAAATAAACGTATTTCAAAATGTTAACGCTACTTTAGGTTAGTTTGTTGACAAGTCATCGATGTCTTACCTTCTGATGATAAAAGGAAGTGAAAAGATTGAACAATCGTTGAGGGGCTCAAGAGCTTTCCTAACTTTTCTCGGAGAAAACAATTAATCGGGAAAAACGAGGCAACGTTGGAATGTTCGTACGTTGTCGGAACACAACATAGGTTTTTCTGATATTCAATGCCACGATTATTCTAACGCGAGTTCGAATAATCGCGCCAAACACAGCGCGGCCGGCGTTAAACGTATATTAGCGCCTCCAAGACTTTAGGAATACTTCACACATTGCACCAAACAGTGCGGTCAGCGTTCAGCCCATATTGGCGCCTACAAGACTGCGTGAATACTTCTCGCATTACGCCAAACGTAGGGCAGCCGGTCAGTTGGCGAGGAACGCATATTAGCGTCTACAAGACTGTAGGAATGATGTTAGGACTGCGTATCATCTTTCTTGACTCTCTGCTCAGATTTTAGCATAATTAAAGGGAGAATATGTTTATCCTCATTGTAACGATTGAGACACTTCGATGATATTTAATTTAATTTTTTTTTTTTTGGTTACATAAAAAAAAATAGAACGAACAAAAATATTGCGTCGAACTTTTCGATCCTTTTATTTAAAATCATTTAGGTAACTTCGCGGAAACTTTTCAGAAAAAGTTTGTGTAGCATTATAAAAACATTTTCGCAACCGAAAATGTTTATCTTGCGGTAAACCCCGCCAAGTTTAGTCATCTTAAAATTGCTTTTATTTATACCTATAGATGCAAACAAAGTTGAACAAAGCATGTAAAAATATCATCTTGAAAAAAAAGAAGAAAAATCAGAAGGTTTTATGAAAGATTGCAATTCAGACACGTGATCTCTATATTTTCACTTCCGATACACTCATGCATGGATCAATCTCTGCTCGTAATGTCATCAATCGTTTAATGTGTCACTCTTCTCAAGATTATTCACTTCCGCCCAAGATACGTTGCAATTTAAATAGGAGCACTTCCATAAATATGTTTATGAAGATATCAGCGGACAGTTACTGGATCAGACTTGCTTGGTTCACCCACTAATTAGACCAATTAATGATATAAACAATACAATTTTCTTGTGAATCAGTTTATTGGGTATTTCTATCATTTGAAGGTACGTATAGGAACTTTAATTCAAAGCCCAAAATTTTGATGTGAAATAAGATAGTTCTTACATACCGGTCATCATGGTATCCTTTTGCTACCGTTCTTGCTACACTGGAATAAAAGTCTGTTGGATTTAAAGTCCTGACTCTTAAAAAAATTGACAAGGAAAAGATCTCTTTATTCAATCGGATTTTCGCTTGAATCGAGAGGCAAATCTGTTGATTGAAGCGGATTTTCTACTGATTCAAGCAAAAATTCTATTGAATCAAGAGGATTTTTTCATGTCACTTTTTTTAACAGTCTGGACTCTTGCTCTTTGAGATTTTTTTCCAGCGTACTTTACAGTTGCAATAATTGAATAATAATCACCAGTTTTTGAATGAGATTCTTATAAAGTCACCAAAGTAACATACATATTTGTCTTTACTCCAATGTACGCGCACAATTTGCGAGTGGCAGTCATTACTTTATTAGATTAGGGTGAACGAAACTATGATGCGAATGCGCAGGCGCACTAATGAGATTGAAGATATCAATCACTAGGTTTTACGAAAGATGAGATCTCTTACATTGATGGTCGATGAAAAAAGTTTTTCAAACTAATCTCATCATCATTTTCTGCCAATCTATTAGACGTTTAAGAATAATGTGAGTTGGAGACGGACGTTTTATCACATTGTGCCCCGATTTCACACTTTTGAATACGATTTGTTGAAAACAGACATGTGTAAACAATTTGTTTGTATTTTTCTCCAATTTTTAGACGTCATCATGATAAAAATCATTTTATTTATACCCGAACAGTATACAAGTCACAAATGAAAATTATCATATTTTTTAATAATAATCAATTTTTTGAGATTAAACATGGAAATGTAAAGCATTTACAAATTAATAAAAGTGAGTATATTGACGGAAGCACTACCGAAGCCTGTATATCGGTTTGTGATGTTACAGACTTCCTCATATACCGTATTTTTTAAATACTTAACATGGTTTTTAAGGGCTGCAGTGACTTTTCATCTTCGTGTGAATAAAGTCCTCTGAAAACTTCAATGAATGAAGTTGATTTTCGCTTCTTTTAAAAAAAATATAATCGGAGCAGAAATTTGAACACACCCCAAACGAGATACGTGGTTTCTGAGTTTTACCGTCGATATGTAGTGTGAATATCGATAACCATCAGCCTATCCACATCAAGCGTTGCCTGATATTCTCTCGGCTTCTGTTTCTTACAATAAAACCAAGCAACATTTTGCCTTGAAATTGTGTGCCGGAATTAATATTCTCTATACAATACGAGAAATTGACGAAACCAGTAATTAATTGCTTAATCTCCATCCCTTTAACTAGTGACTCCTTTTTTCCTCTTTGCCTAAAGGAAAATATTGTTTTTGGAGACTTGGAATACGCGATCGAAAAAAATTTAAAGTCTCACCCAGCCTTTTCAGCAGCTCCACTTTTCCAATAACTTAAGATCATCAAGGAACTTTGACTCGAATGCTGCCATTTCCTGTTTCGCTAGCATCAAGCAAAAGTCCGCACCTTTATCACCATCCCGCCTCTCCGCTAAATAAATGTGGTTAGGCCACGGAGGGACATTCTTCAAATGTTTTGGTCCACCCCAGCCGAAATCCTTTTCATCAAGACTGAAATACATTGACCCTCCCACACCCACTTTTGTTTCCTCCTGAGATATCGTGTTATTCAACAGAAAATTCTCAAAAAATTTCCGATGATCATTTGCATCCAATTCGCTCACTACGGAGCTGATAGCTTTGGCTGCTACTACTAGACCATCTTGTCCAGCTATATCATCACTAGACATATCAACAGTACATCCAAACACGCAGTTCCCGTGGTAATTGTCAGGCACGGGGGGCTGTAATCGCTTCCTAAGATCAGCAGGCAAAATAAACCGAACGTGCTTCTTCGTCAACCCGGCCTTAACAAAGCATGTTAACACGTATGCACAAGTAACTACAACTGTAGACATCCTGACTGGCGGCTCTTGTGAGGTATTTTGAACCTGCAAAGAGGTTATTCGCCTCCTGAGGTTTTCGATGTCGTCGACTGTTAATCTAAATGATCCGTGCATCCTATCATTAAATGGCTTTTCCATAGGTTTGACGCTCCTATTTCTAGGTCCGCCTGGTGTCAGGGGTGTTAATAAGTGATCCAAAAAAAGTTGTTTGATATTTTTCGGATCGTCGATAAAGGCCCGGTCAAAGCTCGGTATCAAGTTTTGAGGTAACGGTGGGTCGTCTCCATGTCTGCAGATGTGAGCCCACGATTTGAGGAAAAGAGCCAATGATGCCCCATCTTGCGCAGCGTGGTGGAAGGTGATGCCGAGACAGATATCACCACTCGGGAACAGTGTGATCTGTAACGCCAACAGTGATGCTTCCGTTTCTGAAACTCGCAGTGGAGGCAGCAATTGCTGGAGGTCTCTTTCTTGTTGGAAGGGATCGTCGAATAATTTCCGGGGGTCAGCATCCGTTTCGGCTATTGTAAGAGGGACTGAATCGTCGTCCGTAATACGGATGTAGGGCTCGTCGGAGTTCAGCGACCAGATCAAAGTCCCCGCCAAAGGTCGAAAGTTTTGAAGGGTGAGAGAAAGGGAATCACGGAGTTTTGGAATAACTGTCTCTGCAAAAGCAGAGATAGGAAGATGCGTCTCGTAAAAAAAGAGACGCTGATTGGGCGGAGCGCGAAGGGCCAATAAGTCGAAATGAGTGAGACTGATGCGATCTTGAAACGCGTTGTTCACCGGGGCGGTTGGTGGAGAAACTTGAACTACGTTTAGTACGGCTACTGAGCTCGATATCGACATCACTGCTCGTTGAAAGCTAAAAGTCGGAGAACGCTGTGTGAAAATCAATGAATTCTGATATGTATTGGCGTGTAGCAAACTTATCGATTATATCGATATTGAATACATCGGTATCGAATATTTCGATTAATTTAAGATATCACTGAACGTCGTTGGGGAACATCAAGTTTAGTCTATTTATGCACTTTGAAAATTTATGAATTTCAGAATTTCATATAAAATAATATGTAAAATACATATTTTTAACACGGCTGAAGAAATTCCACTTTACAGTTTGTAATGATTCTTGATTGACAGTGAGTTGAATAGTTTTTTTCCCAAAAAAGAGACTAAAAAGAAGGAAGAGACACTTCACTTTCGAACACGCGATGTAGACACTCGAGTAACGTAAACCTTTATCATCGCGCGATCACGTGGGTAATGAAATGCTTTAAAAAAAGAGAAGAGTTTTCGGAGGCGGGTGCGACAAGTTCGACCAGTACTCGAATATCAGTGAGATAAGATGTCTGCTGCAGTCGAAAAGCTCAACATATGTAGGTAACAACCATGAAGGGGCCGAACTTCCGTTGTCGCTGAAAATGAGTCCGCTTTCTCTCTCGCGCGCGCACTAGTCACTACCAGACTACCACTCCCTCCGTTTGGGTAGGGGCCCCAGCACTTGCACGTTGATTTTTAAATCGTTATCGAATGGCCTGAATCGATAAACAGCGTTGCTAAGATAGGGAAATATCGATCGGGCTCATTCGATAACGATTTCAACAATCGATCTGTAGACCCCAATCGATTTTTGGCTCGTTATCGAATGACCTGAATCGATAAAAATCATTGCTGCGATAGGAATATATCAATCAGGCTCATTCGATAACGATTTCAACAATCGAACCGCAGGAGAGAGTCACGGTACTCTCGGGGGTCTGTTCATCGATCCAGTAATTGTGATGGTGGGCGGATGAAACTGGTTAATCCTCTTTTGCTAAATTATCAACAGTGGCGTGGCGTGAATTGCGATATATCGATTGGTATATATGGCATATGGCGGGGGTGTTAAATGAGATAAGAGATTGTCAACTCCCTGATGACCTGTGGGAAGACCGAGCTTTGTGGCGATTAGGCGTCGCACAGCGCCAAAGAGCGCTATAAAAGCGACATATATATATATATATATGGCATTTAAACCTATGGAAAAGGATCGAACAACAGGGTGTTCGCAGCGAACACCTTAATAATCGATTCTTTACCATAGGTTTAAATGACATAACAATCGATGTATCGCAATTCACGCCACGCCACTGATTATTAACTTGTTTTAGCTTGTAGGTATTAATGTCTTTGCTCATGAGTTCACGCCAGCTTTTTTGTCTGAATGTTGAATGGCACGAAAGGGTATAGTAAGTAATGAAACACAAATCGTGTAAAATAATTGATCCAAATATGTGCTTTTAAAACGCACGTCATTAGCAAACTGTAAAACCACGTTTCTCCTTTTGAGATGCTGCGGACTCCTGCTACACCTTATTTGGACCGCGTTTAATAGAAAAGAACCAAGCCACACAGCAGCTATTGCAAAAGTTAAAAGGGCAATTTAATGTTTCATGTCAGAACGTCTGCACGGATTCCTTTGAAAATGTTAAGGAATTTGCTTCGCGCTATGGAGCAAATTCACTAAAAGCAGGAAAATCCGCAGAGCATTTTTCGTGTATAAAATTTAATTGCTCAATTAAATTTGCCAATAGCTGATGTGGTTTGGTTCCTTCCTGTTAAACGCGATCCATTTTTACTTCGGATAACTAGTCATCGTAATTTTTTTAAATCATTTTTTTTTTTTTTTTGATTTCTCTTTTTTCTAAGCGGAATATTCTGAATAATTTCAATATTTCAATACTTTTTTATTAAGTTGGTTTGTACCTCTTTAAAGCAATAAGACAGGAGTGAAAATTTTAGGACACCGCAATGAAGATACGCAGCGTCACACTTAAGCCATCAATGTAAGATATGAATTTGATGTAAATTCTTAGAACACGATATTCTCAGAAATTTGTCATTGTGATCCAGAGATGATAAATTTTCGTTAAAAATTGTTAAGATCTCCAAATTCGGTTCGTGCACTCTCAGGAAAAAGAGTGGCACTTATACTTATGCCCAACACACACTAGAGGTATATTTTCTAAAATATTACGCAAATTAACGGCAATCACTCAATTTAATATTTTAGTGCGAGTACATATAAAAAAAAGAGATTAAGTTGATCCAGCATGCCTTAACGTCCTTTGGTTTTAGATGCGGATGCTCCCACTGGTAACATGTGCTGCTCTACTGGCAAGCGTCTCTGCACAGGACTCAGCTTTACAACTTGGACTTTTGAGTGGTTATGAGGGAGTCAAGAGGAGACTAGAAAATTATGCCGCAAAACTATCGCTTGAAGAGCGATACAAAGATATAGATCTGAAGTATCTGACGCAGAGACTAGACCACCCCAGGTNATGTCATTAAATTATTTTAAACTGTTATTTTTAACTTCATAAAATAGGAATATAGCGCCTGAAACTGTTGTAACTGGGGAGTACTTTAATCGATCTTTTCAACCGATATAAATTGTTTTTTTATAATATATTAATAGGAATTAAAATTCTCATTTAATAGCAATAAAACTGTTATTTCGAAGATATAATAAAAATTATTTTATAGCAGACCTTGCTACCTGGGCACTTCACGCCCTCCGTTACGGATACTTGGAAGCAGGTAAGCGATGAATGCGCGAAATGCTGGAATACATTTTGAGGATGCAAAAAGAGAAAACTTATAAATATGCGGACTCCTTAGATATACTTTATGAATAGAATATACCTAAAATATTACCTAATAAAACTTGTATTCGCTTTTTGCCATAGTTGTTCCATCAATTTTATTACCCTATCTATAAGGCTAAAGTTTCCCTCAGCACTTGAGCCAGAAACCAATCGGGTAAAAAATACCTCAACTTTATCATCTGTGTTGAGTAGCTGACATTTAAGTGAATTAAACTCTTGGTCTCTGCGAGATTTTAGAATAAAAATAATCATGCACTCACATTAATCACCCTTATTACCACAGATGTTTTCGATTCACTTTTGGTCTCATAAAATGGAAATGTTTTTTCAACGAGTCCAAAAAATGTATCCAGTCAAAACGTATGGACATCACTGTGTCACAAATTTCTGGCCAACAAAATCTGAGGATTAAGTGTCAAGTAGGGATTTTATCCAAGACAGCAAGACAGCATCACAGTTTATCGAACAACCAACTTTGCAAATAGCATATTTTTTGTCTAATTTTAGTTGGGAGCAAAGATCTGTTTACTATGAATGGCAACAATAGTGTTCAGTTGATTTTACGAATGAACTTAGTACCATGTTTACCATTTGCAATAATAATGTGAAAAATTGTTAACTATAAAATGACAAGATGATTCTCAACTACATACCAGAAACTGGATTTTATGCTGAAAACAATGGTGTATTGATTAAACAATGCAATAAGAAATTATTCAATGCAACAAAGGCCCTGGCAAAATAGTTAAAATTTATACCTATTTAAATATGAATTAATTAACTTCCTCTCTATTTAAAGTTATTCGCCGTTATTTTAAGTATTTTTTTCGCTATTTGTTCCAGCTTTATGCAGAAAATTTTGAGCATTATGGTGGCAACAATTTAATTTTTTTAATGATAGGAGGCGAAAGTTCAATCAGCACTGACTGGTTACGGCGAAGTTTCATGTCTAAGCAAGCTGAGAAATTTAAAGCTGCAACTTTTACAACTGAACATAGATTCTACGGAAAAAGTATACCACGGTAATAATTTTTGTAGCACTAGTTATTAAAGCACTTCCTTTAGAATTATATATATATATAAAAAAAAAACTACCTGCAAGAATTGCGAGTAGGATGCCATGAGCAAGTATTGCGTAAAGGGATGGATTTTAGAAATTTCTGCCGTACTCTTTCAACGTGAACATGCAAGTCTACGTGCAATTAATAAGGGCTCTTCAATAGCTGCAATATTCTTACATGCAATAACTAATTGAGTAGTGTCCTAAAGCACAGCTAGGTGAAGCCTTCAATTATTTATTGTCCCGTGAGAAGTGTACATAACAACGATGAAGACAAATAATTTTCCAAAAAAAATTGATTTTTTAAGTATTGAAACGTCTGACTTTTCATAATGATTCTGTCCACGAATCTGACAGTCTTTCACTTTTGTTTAGGGACTTATCAATAGAATCATTGAGGTATTTGAGCAGTGAACAAGCACTGGCTGATCTGGCGCATTTTATCACTCAGATGAACATCAAACATGGTTTCAAAAATCCAAAATGGATCGTCTTCGGAGGGTCCTACGCTGGATCCTTGGCTGCTTGGCTCAGATATAGGTATCCTCACTTGGTATACGCTGCTGTAGCTTCCAGTGGTCCTCTACTCGCAAAGGTTGATTTTCACGGTGAGTATTTGAACTTCATAAAAATAAAAAAACAAAGGCAACAGGATCAAAATAAACAACAAAAATTATAACACCAACAACAACAGCAACAACAAGTTCCATAAAAATGTGGCTGAAATAGATACCAATGAGCCGCGGAAGATGAGAAGGCTTGATCGCATTTCTGAGGAGTTTGGCGATTATGTTCGGCACCACAATACGCGACGCTATGCTGCCGTGCTGAGGAAGAACGCCGTATGAACATTCGAGAGTTGCTACATTTCTTTCTATAAAATGTTTATTTTTGAGGAAAGTTATGAATAGTTTCCCTTGAAATTTTCAGGTATTTTGGGTGAAATTGCATGCAAAATATTCTGAAAAATCCAAAGGTAACTCACAACCAGGTACCTCACTCAGGTAAGGTACTCATTAATTTACCGGGAAATTAGCGTTTTATCAAAGGAAATTTGGCAACGCCAGAAGGTTCATACGGCGTTTTTCTCCAGCACGGCAGTATGGACCAAATTCAATAGAAATACTTGATCCTTTAACCAGAAAACTTTATGGGTTACATCTTACGGTGGATCTTTAGTATTTAGTTCCGCATCTTGTCATGACTTTTATGTATTGTATACTTTTGGCAATTTCTAAGAAACGCGTCTTGCAAGAACTTTGCAATATATTAGATTGTTGAAAGCTGTAAACTTATACCAGGCGAGAAATATTGCAATTAAATTGCGCAAATACTTGGAACATAATTCCAATTTTCAGTGTGACGATAATTGCAATTACAGAGGGGGAGTTTTAAATAAAATTGTACCAGATTCATGTTAAGCTTGTTGCCTGAATAGTCGCCTTTTTTCAAGCAAGCGCCTGAAGCAGGCCCGCCACATCCCACCTCGGGCCCTGGTACCAGTTTTAAGGTCCGAGCCCCTAGCACGGAGGGGGGGGGGGTCCGAGGGGAAAATGGGTGGTTTTCATAGGAGGATTATAATTAAACAAGTGGTTAGAAATGGAAACAAAATAATATGAACTATGCAAAACGATTATTTCGATAACGGAACTTGGCTGTTTTGAAAACGCCTTCAAATGCGGATTAGGTGGGGATTCGGCCGGTGGGGATTCGGCCGGTCGGATTTTTCGTGGGGATTCGGCCGGTTTCTGATTTATTATTCAGAGTATGGAAAGTTTGGCAACAATGCACAGAAGAAACATGAATAAAACGTGGTGTACTTACTTTATACTCAACGCTGAGACCCAATTCCTGAACTTTCCTCCAAATTGACTGGTTAAAATGAAAGTTACACCCGTGCAATTTTGCGTCAGGATATTTTGACAAAACGGATATGACAGCAATCTCAAAATCTAAACAGAAACTTTCTGGCTTCCACGTGGGAAATTTTTCGTTTAACAAATGAAATAAGCGTTGATAAGTACGTTTCTGCTTGTTCGGAAGTAAAGCGTAAAAAATAGGAATGCAGCAAACAGAATGGTGGGTGCTTCTGTACTTTGCATGAATTGTATACAGTTGAGTAAATTGTTTTGGACATGCAAAAAATGTCCCGTCAATAAAAAAGTCTTGTTTAATAGTACTTCTTGGATTAATTTTGTCCATCCAAACACTAAAATTCGGTCTTTTTGACCGTCGTCACAAATTGAAAAATTTGATCCGCCCGACTGTCAGTTCACGACCCCGATAAGCATGATTTCAATCTCGAGATGTCACCAACATGATAAGAGTATTCCTCTGCTTCGCATTAGTACATTGTTGCCAAACTTTCGGCACTCTGGATAATAAATCGGAAACCGGCCGAATCCCCACGAAAAATCCGACCGGCCGAATCCCCACGCGACCCAAATGCGGTGTGATACCTCACGCATTCCAGAGAGTTCTAATAGTTGTATCATTGCGCCGTAAGAATGTGACGGAAAATTACAATTGAAATAGTCTCCATGCACGCTGGGCGTGTCGATTTCCTTTGACATTTTTGCAGTGGTGAATGCATAGCTGAAGTGCGCTCCAGCTAGAATTGTATTTGGCAAATGGGTGGTTTTTCTACAAGGATAAAAAATAAACGAGTGGTACGGAATATAACAAAAGAATTTGAACTATGCAAAACGATAATCCGGGTATCGGAACTTGGCTGTTTTGAAAACGCCTTCGAATGCGGCGTAATACCTTACGCATTCTGGAGAATTCAAATAGTTGTATCCTTTCGCCGTAAGAATGTGACGGAAGATTTAAATGGAGATAGCCTCCAAGCACACTGGGCTTGTCGAGTTCCTCTGAGATTTATGCCGTGGTGAATGCATAGCTGAAGTGCGCTTCAGCTAGAATTGTATTCACAAATGAGTGATTTTTCTACGAGGATAAAAAATAAACAAGAGGGCTTGGAATCTTACTATCTTACTATATATATA